GGGTCATATGATGGGGGGGCGGGGCTGCAGAGAAAGTTTGGCTCCATGGCAGTAAACTGAGCGAAATCGTTTATCACAGTATGAATTAGTTCTCAGAGGCAGCAGTGAGAGCAGGTGTGAGGTGAAGTGGGGGACAGAGGGGAGAGAGGGGGGAGAGAGAGGGGAGAGAGCGGGAGAACAAAGACAGATGTTCAAACGCCCACAGCCGGGCAGATGTCACGGTGGGACGGGGGCAGAAATGAACGACCCAGGAGGCAAACATCCACGACAACGACAACGACAACAACAACAACGACAACGACGACAACAACAACAACGACAACAACGACAACAAAAACAACAACAACAACAGAACAAAGACTGTTTATGTTTGGGAATTCTGTTCTTCTCCTTCCTCCACACTGAGGCTGGGAATCAGCCAACGCCGAAGCACAAAATCGACTTTTATTAGACTGACTTTTTTAGACTGACTTTTTTAGACCGACTTTTTTAGACCGACTTTTTTAGACCGACGATCTCCGTCCAATAAACAGGTGAATGAACGACCAGACTACAGTTACAGTTTCCTGATGAACGACGGTCATGAAGCTGTCGTGATGATTGGAAACACGTTCAGATCGTTCTGTCGTCGTCTTTGTCGATGTTTCTGTTGAGTTGTTGTTTTTCTGAGAGCAAACAACAAATTCTTAAATCAAACCGGATCCGTCTGGTTTTAAAGACATCCCAGAATTCCACAGTCTGCCTGGTGGGAATACCCTGCGTCTAAACGTCCTTCCTTCCCGTTTCCCTCAATTCTTTCATCGTGTTTTCAAAAAGACAAAACAGGATTAATGAGCTGAACGACAGGCAGGACGTCGGTCATCACTGCACGTCGTCGTACAGAAACCCTTTCATTCAGAACACGACGCCCACCGCGTGTCATCCGACCGTCTTCGTCACATGGTCGCAGCTGATCAACTCAGAACTAAAAAAGATTTGATTTTAAATCAAGACAAAATAAATTGGATTGTTTTCCTTTTTTTTGTCTTTTGTTCATTAAAAATGTTGGCGTAAAAATAATTGGATGTTTTTTTTTTCCATCAAAAAGTTACGATTGAAAAGAAAAGTTAGTGATGACCGTCGGCGTCGGTCAGACCTTCAAACCTCAGACGTCACCGTGGAAACGAGGTGGAACACTCGGTTCTGGAGAGTTGTTCTAGTGAAGTTCCTGACGTCAAACGTGGTTCTGATCAGAACCCTATGTCATGAGACCAAACCAACACACCACATGGGATCGAACCTGTGACCCACGTGGTGTACGACCACAGCACTGACCACTTTCCCACGGTGCGGACGTTCAAAGCACGACTAATTGACTTTTTGTGTGCGTTTTATCTGCAGGTGTAATGAGGGAAACAACCAATCAGCATCATGGAATTCTTCAGACTCCGCCCACTGCAACAGACGCAGAGTCCTGGCACAGGAGACGCAGAACGATCTGGAGCGTCCGACCCCAGACTCCGCTCAGCCACCGTCCTGCTCTGGGAACAAACCTCACTCTCTCCCACTGTTGGAGAAACAGCTCCCCCCGGTGACCGCGTCCAACGGCCGCTCTGACCTGTTGGGCCGAGTGCTGGGCCAAGGCTCGGGACCAGGACCGGGTCTGACGCCCTCGGGCCCCGGGCCCGGTGTCGGTCAGGACCCCATGGTCCAGGAGCTGCTGGAACTGGAGGGTCAGATCCTCGTCATCAAGCAGCAGCTTCAGACGGCGCTGAAGAGGAAGAGGGAACTCCAGCAGCACCAATCAGAGAACAGGCAGGCCAACCAGACTGCAGCCAATCAGAGCACGGGTCTCCAGGCCAGCCAGTTCTCCCAGTTCTCCCAGTTCTCCCAGTGTCGCCCACAGACTAACCAACACACAAACACGGTACCAGAGTTCTGAGGTTTGTCTGTGTTGTTCTGGACACGTGTGACCCGCGTGGGCCTGGTCCTCCACAGACTGGACCAGGGACCAGAGACAAGTCCCAGTCTGGACCGGAGACTGAGACGTCGTCACGGCGACCGGCTCGTTCTCCGTCGTTTGTTTCTTGACTTTTGGAATATTTGATTTGAATAAATAAAAAAGGCACTGATTTTTGAACCAACTGTCGCTGCTGATGTTACAGAACAGATGTAACCCCCCCCTCACCCCCCCCGCTCTCTCTCCTCTCACTGCTCCCCTTCCATTTCAGTCCTCAGTTCTTTGTCTCCCCCCTGACTCCCCCCTGACTCCCCCCTCCTCTCCTCTCATCCTCCAATCATCATCTTTTGGCGGCTTCTCATTGGCTGGGGGGGGAGAACACCTTGCTCCTTG